CGCGGATAGTGCCGTGGTGGGATCCAAGCCCGCGGAAGTGTCGTGGTGGGATCCAAGCCCGCGGAAGTGCCGTGGTGGGATCCAAGCCCGCGGAAGTGTCGTGGTGGGATCCAAGCCCGCGGAAGTGCCGTGGTGGGATCCAAGCCCGCGGAAGTGCCGTCGTGCGTAAGTTCGCTCGGAATCCTTGCGCAGTTTTCAAACTGCGAAAGATGCACGTGTGCCGTGCAGCTCAGCACACACGCATCTCCCACTATTTAAGAACGACACACTACTTGCGCGCTGACTGACGTCTTGTCTGGCTTACACCCTGCGTGGCTTACGCGCTTTTAGATCGCTCCACTTCAGGTAAGGTCTATGATCCGTGATCAGGTCAAATGCAAAGGACTGCTGCGGATCTGGAATCCAAAACCTGTCGCAACATTTAAGAAATAAGCAAAAACCCAAAAAACTAATCTGGTGATGACCGCCGACTTGAGCCTCGTTTATCGTCAGCCACAAACCTGTGGACTAAGGACTAAATTTGACTCGCCGGCCGAAAAGCGCAGTTTGCGGCAGCTTGCACACTGCGGTTTTTGTGGCCCGGCGGGTCGGAGCCGGCGGCAGCTGGCGTCCGAGACGTCTGTTCATGGCCCGATTCACGCGGACTCCCTGCGAGAACCGTGGGAGTGTTGTGGATGCGATGGCACACTTGTCCGCCGCGTAATGGAATTGGACAGCAGACGCCGGGGGCGCGGCGGCGGCGGGCGCACCGCCGCGGGACAAGCCGTGCTCACTGGAGCCCGTGCGCGGCATGTTGCGTTCTGGACGCTGCAGGTCGACGCTCTGGCGAACAGCGTTGGCTGTTCACAGGTGCCATCACTTTAGGAAGATACGGGATGTTCTCGTTTTATTTCCTTGCTGCTCGTGGATCTGGGACACGCGACGGTACCTGATTATTTTCGATGCTCTTCAGATAACAAAACATGGTTACGAGCGGTGTCGCAGGCCGAGTGAGTCTCAACGTCAACTAACCGGAAAATGTGCGGTTTCAGTTGCCCTGCCCGGTCAGTAATGCTTCTGACCACCGGCCTATGTCGTGGCGTCTATTGATCGCATCAGCGCAGAGTTGTCACCAATAAGTGATGGAATTCTTTAAAGTTGTACTGTAGCATTGCCGAGACATTTACATGCGGGATGTGTAACCCAGTGGCGTATTACTGCAACGTTGCAAAAAAATTCACTTTTTTCTCCCAGTATGTGGTGTAGAAGGTGTGAATTTTTAGGCCGAGTCACCGATTTCCGAAACACAGGTTGAAGACGGGAGATTTTGGCCAGTAGGTCTTACAGCGGCATGAAACTAGCTTATACCGACGGAGGAAAAACACGGACAACCGCATTGCCAAACGTGTGGGTCAATGTGGACACGTTATTGCGCGCTATCCTGCAAGAACTATGGAAGAGCCTGTTTTGAAGCGTTTTAAAGGAGTTATGTCAGTTCGCAGCATCCAGAGCAGACCAGGCTGTGAAACAAACTCTGTGGCGTTGACGAACGTACCGACTGGAACACACTAACATATCCCAAAACCTCATTACCCACATGCGCGGCATGACGACAACGAGGAGCGAGCAAAGCCGCCTTTTATCAATTTAAAATTGGTCTCGAATTCTAAAACTGGTCTCGAATACCTGACGCTGTGGCCTGAGCTATCTTAAGCGCTTTGCATAAAAATCACCTTTTTCGTATCAAAACGTAGCCGGGCTCGTTACGTTAACGAGTTTGAACTAGATCGCTGGCAGGATCAAAGTTTAGGCTCTGTCTTGAATCTGAAATACTAGGCAGTGCCGTGTCGTGGGATAGTACCAGGCCACCGGCACGCCAGGGCCTGGCTGGGCCACGATGGATGTCTTGGGAGGGCTGATTAATGCGCTATTCAGCCAGGGTCGAGATCAACAGAGCATTTCCATCCACTTAGATCCTGAAATATTTGCATTTTCTGAAAGACGCTTAAATACAACAATTCACATGAGCTGACTCTGTTTAGCAATCAGCTCGTTTGGCGTAGAGAGAGAGAGAGAGAGAGAGAGAGAGAGAGAGAGAGAGAGAGAGAGAGAGAGAGAGAGAGAGAGAGAGAGAGAGAGAGAGAGCCAGGGTCATGACCACCTGCGGAAATCAGCTTCAAACAGTCTTTCGCGACCTACTGCTGTAGCCAAGCTGGTACTTTGGCACACCGCTGGAAAAGCAACCGATTTCAACAGGTGTACGGCGCACCTTGAATCACGTCATGTAGTAGTACCGCCGACCAGGGACGTCTGGAGGGGGTCGGTGGTAAGGCGCGCGTGGGAGGGGACGGCCAACCGAGGGCGTGGTGGCGCACGGATCCGCCTCGTCTCTGCGCCTGGTCGGAGAGCCAGAGCCACAGGCCGCCGGCGCTCGCTGGACAAGCTGCCACTCCTACATTAGGACGTTCGCCGTCGTCCGGTGCGCCTGCCGTGGTCACCGCGCGGCGCCAGCCACATGCCGCGTCAGCGCGCCGGGCCGGACGCCTCGGCATGTCCCGCCGGTGCAGCGGCGGATCGGTCGCACGCGCCGCTCCATCCCGCCGGTACAGCGGCGGATCGGTCGCACGCGCCGCTCCATCCCGCCGGTACAGCGTCGGATCGGTCGCACGCGCCGCTCCATCCCCCCGGTACAGCGTCGGATCGGTCGCACGCGCCGCTCCATCCCCCCGATACAGCGTCGGATCGGTCGCACGCGCCGTTCCAGTAAACCCTTCCACGTGAAGCGCAGCGCCAGTCCAGCCACGCGTCTTCCAGGGAGCCGTCAGATGCCGATGGCTGGGTGGGCGGCGCGGGTGGCCGCCGTGCGCGCCCGGACGTTGAACTCCGGGCGCGGCGACTGTGCGCCGCTCGGCGAGCTCGGCACGAGAGGCGGCCCGGCGCCCGGGGCGGCAGAGCCGCGCGCACGTCCCGGTCCCGTCGGGCCTCATCAGTCAGGACCGTCGCAGGATGTCCGGCCGATGATGCCGTGGGTCGCGCCGGACACAGTGTCTCCTGATGATCTTCCTGATCCGAGCAGGAGCCAGACGGCGCGGCCGGCTGGTCGCCGAATGTGAAAGGGTGGCGCCGAACATGGTGCCTCCTGATAATCCTCATGATCTGAGCAGGAGCCAGACGGCGCGGCCGGCTGGTCGCCGCGTGTGAAAGGGCGCCAGGCTTGATCTGTCGGTGATGACGCCGGTGCTGTTGTAATGATGCCGTCAAGCGTGCCAGTTCGCGAGCCGCGTGGCCACCGTCGCTGGCAGCCAGAGGAATGCCAGCTTGCCCGTTTGGGTATATGAATTGCACTGATGCGTGGATATAGTATGGGCATTTCTGCCCTGCAGATTGCGCCCACTTCGGGCTTCCCGGGCGCTTCCGGTGCACGCATAGCGGTACGTCGCCACTGTCCAACTCCAGGCCATCGAAGGAGAACGACGCATTACGAACTGAATTGGCAGCCAACTGGATAAATCACAATCGGTGCCTGCTAGTTCATGGGAGTTTGCATATATTGGGGTACTTCACTTGAAACGTCAAGTTAAAAAGTGCACGTGGAGATGCTGAAATAAACTAAAAATACTAATGCAGCAAACACACGGTTTCTGGCAAGAAGCACAATTTGTTTAACCTTTCGATCGCTGTCTCACACAATCAGTGAGGTCTGGAGCCAGGGGCGCAGACCTCCTCTCGCCGGTCCAACGGGTGAACAGCCAGTTCGAAGACGCCAGCCGGTATGGGTCATTGTGCAGGTTGTAACAGTACTTTCGTGTTCAGGGACCCGTCGTGGAGGCGATTGCTAGGCTGATGAAAACTGACAGTGAAAAGTAGTATACCAAAATGTTTAACATCTGTTATGCAAAAAACTTGCCAGTCAATGTTTTTACACAAATCGCAGCATTTTTAAAATCGCCATTTTCATTGAAGCACCCACCCCCTCTCTCCCTCCCTCCCCCTCTCTCGCTCCCTCCCTCCCTTCTCTCTCTCTCCTCTCTCTCTCTCTCTCTCTCTCTCTCTCTCTCTCTATCTCTCTCTCTCTCTCTCTCTCTCTCTCTCTCTCTCTCTCTCTCTCTCTCTCTCCTCTCTCTCTCTCTCCTCTCTCTCTCTCTTCTTTCTTTCTTTCTTTCTTTCTCTCTCTCTCTCTCTCTCTCTCTCTCTCTCCTCTCCTCTCTCTCTCGCTCTCTTCCCCCCCTCTCTCTCTCTCCATACCTTATACATCTACATTCAGGCGATGCATTTACATATTCGGAAGTGCGCGGCTCTGAAACATACAATGGGCGGCCGGCGTTCATGTGAGTAAAGCCCTCATATCTGGCGACGAACACGACCAAGCTGGCGTGCTCGCACAGTCACGCTTGATGACCCGAATGTGACGAGCGCCCGGCCTCTCGACCGACGGATATCCCGATGCGGCCGGCACGTGACGCGTGTGCGAGAGTCGACCTCTCTCCTCCGGTGTGCGTGCCACGGACGCCGTCGGCGGCGGGAGCGCGGCCCGCTCCTGGGCGGCGGACTCCCGCCGCGCCATGCATACCCTGAAAGCCGGCGGGATTTCTCCCCGAACAGCGATCATCACGATTGTGAGCGCCATTGTGGGCGGACGGTCATTACCGGCGGCCGGCGCAGACGGCGGGCCGGCTGGCCGGCCGGCGCGTCGTCAGATTGTGTCGCTCGCTGACTCTGATGGCATCGTTCCCGCCCGCCTCGCCGGGGGCACGGAACAGGTGGAGCTCGTGGCGGGGAAGGACACACTCTGGTGGGGCGTCGCTGCCATTGATGAGCTCAGGCAGAGGAAGCCCGCACGTGGGAACTCCTCTGGGATGACGCACCAGCTACCAAGCATGCTGAGGTCCCATTTATCTTACAGCAGGCCACACGGATCGATCGAAGGGCATCACGCCATCACCATTGCGAAGTGCCATCTACAGGCACGCGGAAACCCTCGCGCATCTGGCAAGAACCGCCGGAACCGCCTCCCCACCTACCTGGCGCGGCGGGCGTGCCGAGCAGGACGGCGGCGCAGCAGGGACGGCCCCGTCGGCCGGAGGCGGCGGCGTGACCCGCCTCGGCTCGTCACTCGACAGCGACGCACGGGCGCACGGCGGCGGCGGCGGCGGCGGCGGCCGGCCGTGCACCGCTCTCACAGGCCGCTCCAGCTGCACTGGCGCGGCCGGCTGCCGGGCGCGCTCTCCAGCTGGGCGGCCGGCGGCGTCTCCGGCGCGCCGCGCCGCACCGCGCCGCGCCGCATTCTGGGTCAGACGGGCCGTCGGCACGTACGGCCGCCGGCGCCCCGGCACCGGGACGCTGACCGCACACCGCCGCCGGCATCGGCGACCGCTGTCAACGGCGCCAGCCGCGCGTCTCTCGCCTGAGATAGGAGGGGCGGGGGCTGTGTGTGCCGTGCGGTCCTTTCCGGGCACGTCTGCGACATCGGCGTTTCCGCCAGGCCGATCGGGACGTGATAGCCCCGTTTTTTCGGTGCAGGGCTTCAAAGCTGCCCTTCTCACTTTTAGCATCGCAATGGAATATGTGACCTTAACATCCTCTGCCGTTAATGATTGAGAGATATGATTCGGTCACTACCTAACTGGACTTCGTCTGCATCACTCTCTGGGATATCGTGAGCGTGGACACGCCCACACTCCTGTCATTGCCGCTGGCGTCATCCGCCTATACTCTGCCTATTCGCCACCCTTTCTTGCAGAGGATCCGAGTCGGGACTTTGACGTTGGTTTGTCCAGGACTTCAACGCGTTTTGAAGAACGGGATGGTCATGCCTTTTGCACTGGTGAGGTGTATAAGCAATCCGCACCTGACCTTTCCTTCACGGCGAGAGCCTGAGACGGTAGAATATCTTTAAGGTTGGATATGCGGAATGGGTAACATCCGGTAAGGCTTATGTTTGATTGTTCCAAAGTCGAAGGCTTCCTCTTTGCCTCGTACTACATTGTTCATAGCCAAACCACTCAATACTCATTGACTGTTAACCCTCCTGTTTTTGCCTCCTTAACGTTATCTGATCACTACCCAAAAAGTTTTAAATATCCCTCGCTGGAATGTCTTTAACATTGACAGGTCACCATTGCTTTCACAGCTCACTGCAACGCCTCCGACATTTATCAGTCAGTGCACTCCAATGCAGACCACAGGATCAGGCTTTTGTCATCGGCATGCTCGATTATCAGCAGATCACAATCAATATAATGTTTTGTTCTCTTTTATGGCGCATGGAAAGTTCATTACTTGAACACTCGTCTCTCCTGTCAGAGCGCTGGACGCATACCTTGCGTCAGCATTCCGCTCAGTTTTTCCCCTTCTTCGGTGCGGGCGGAAGTGGCTCGGCCCGGTCGGCACACACACACACACACACACACACACACACACACACACACACACACACACACACACACACACACACACACACACACACACACACACACACACACACACACACACACACACACACACACACACACACACACACACACACACACACACACACACACACACACACACACACACACACACATACACACACACACACACACACACACACACACACACACACACACACACACGTGGTGTTGGTGCCGCCCTCTTCCGCACCTCTACCGCAGCTCCAGACGCCGCGGCCGGCACCGCGCTCTCCCTGTCAGAACCCGGAACACCGCACGCCGAACACTAGCCGATAGCCTTGCTAAGCCGCCGCCGCCGTCGGCACGCCGTCACTCGGCGCGTGCCGCTTGACTTGGCGTGCCCTGTTAGCCGGGCGGCGGTTTCACTCTCGGCGTGCGACGCCGATCACGTGTCCGGCGAAGCGTCCCACCGAAGGGCACGGTCCGCCGACCCAGCGTCCCCGCCGCGATCTCTCCCCTGCATCTCCGATTCGCGAAAGAGCGGCCGGCAGCAAGTGACGCGTTACGGACCGACGAAAGCGAAACTGGCATGTGGGAGAAGTGGCCGCGGCAAGGCGAGCAGTGCAGGTTACGTGCCGGTTCACTGGACTGACTGCCGTTCACCGTCCATTCGTTGGCAGGGATACAGATGGCCGCCCGCCACCTGCTTCATTGGAGCCCGCAGACTGCAAGAAACCCTAGGGGGACGAGGCTGTCGTAATAGCGGCAGTTTCAGTCTGCAGATGGTATCGTTTAGTTTCTTTTAACAGGTTGTACCGGCTATAACAGCTGCAGTTAGGGGAGAGCCGGGCCATGTGATGTTTGCGCATGGTGCATAATGAGCGCAATAAATTACACGAAAGAACATATATTTTTCAATTACATTTAGTGCTATGGACTAGTGAGGAGGTGTGATGTAGATACTGCGCTAAATTAGGTGCCATTACAACTAGATTGGAGTAAGCTGGAGACTGGACGGAACATGGGGCTTACCATTGGAATAAGCCGTTGAGCTGACACCACAATTCATGCCGTATATCTGCATGCACACATTTCTCGAGAACCAGCGAGCTTTTCGTTCGATGCACATGAACCTCGTACACAAATATGTTGGGGACGCGAGTGCATCACAAGTAAGTAGCTGAAATCGGGCGCTTCCCGTGTTTGGCTCCAGTATCAATTCTATTTAACATTGTTGAAGAACTGGATTATCTGATAATAACTGGATTATCTGATAATAACTGGCTTATCTGATAACAGCTGGATCGGTCTGAGTTTATTCCCTCAATCGTGACATAAGCAAAAAACGAGCAAGCTCCCGTTTTTCGGCATTATGAGTTGGGAGATCTTAATCTGCAGCTATCCATTTTCACTATACCAAGAGGTACTATCAAAACGACGCTATCAAAAAAAGCATTGAGTATATTGACGAAACTCTGTGGCTTGTTTTCTCGGCAATGTCATGCTCATCAGCAGCGTAGACGCATATATCATTGCCCAGCACGGTCAGCTGTGCCAAGCTGCACAACTTCCGATGCTCAGTGATGTTCTTACTCATCTTGGCAGAAAGGCAAAGTAAATTGTTCAGTGCATTGCGAGGAACGCTATCCACATAGACAAGATAGCGGTAAGAGCCTTATTCCTCGGAGAATAACAGAGACAAGATAGTGGTAATAGCCTCATTCCTCGGGAAATAACATAGACAAGATAGTGGTAATAACCTTATTCCTCGGAGAAATAACAGACACAAGATAGCAGTAATAGCCTTATTCCTCGGGGAATAACCAGGAGAATGGAGATTTTAGTGGGTTAATATTCCGGAAACATATATTTTTTCGAAACAATAGCAGAAGTATCTTCTGATATTTTTTCAATAGAGGTATGTTGCCGAGATATCAGCCCACCCATATCTCCATTGTCCTGGTTTGTCTCCGAGAAGTAATGCCATTACCACTGTGTTATCTATGTGAAAGGCGAAAGCCGTAAAAACTGCATTTGAAGGAAATCTCCACAAGTAAGTCTGTTCCAGAAACATTTTCTAAGCAAATAAAATGCAAATATGATGAAACCTGGTCTACTTTCCACATGTATTACGCATTTTACGGGCCACTTTACCCCTTAGCAGCTGCTCCGGTTTCGCCGCCTTCCACAGCATGCGGGCAATTGGTGCGGCCCCCTCTCCCGTGTCTATCCAAACTTGATCTACTGGAGCCCAAAATAAATTAAAAAACGGCAATCATCCTCATGCGTGGTGTGCAGCTTCCTACTCGGGGCATATGCAGGAATGTAGCTCCCTTTTCAGTTGGGGGGGGGGGGGACTTTAACCCCCGCCAAACTTAGATTCCAGCTCCCAGGTTTTTGCAAGAAAGTGGGCCAAATCTGGAGAGGAATTTCTGTTTCTTTTTTTCTTCTGGAATATGTTTGTTAACGTACATTAGGGATACGTTGGGGCATTTTCACTGTTCAGCCCCATAACTCCACTTGTGGAACCATGCCCTTGGACATGTGATTTTATCTCTCGTGGCAAACATTCCATGTTGGTCAGTTGGGCTCGAGTCCGTTTGAACCGTCTCTATTCTATGTGCGGAGATTTTCCACGGAGATTTTCCCGCATGTTTAAGGGAGACAGGAGTTGAGATTGGAACACGCAGCCCTCCTGAGGCATGCCGTTAGCTTATTTATGCTCACTGACCTGAAATGTCTCCGAGTTAGCAACCATATTCAACACTGACAAAGTGGGCCGCTTATCATAGCAAGTTGTTCACTATGGCCAACAATGGTTGAAACGGCCAATTGGAAGTAATAACGGGAATAAATAGGCTACTTTTAAATCTCAGAGCGCCGTGATACTATTGTGAGGACTTGACTTATCTAACAAAACGTTCTCAACAACGATATGCATCCAGGTCATTATGCAATAGAATAATTGGGACCATGCATGTATCGCAGAGGTGCTGCGACTTCAAAGATAACCACAGAGAACGAAATCCAAAGTCTCCTTGGGTTCCGAATTGCCTATTATGTAGTTGATGAATTTGCCTATTATGTGATAAGTTGCCAGAATTTACCTGCATGGAACTAAGGTTCATTTATGAAAAATATGATCTTGGCCGCCGCAACCCCACGTGATCTTAGCCCAGTCCACGTGACAGTGGCAGTGGCAGCATACGCCTAGGTACACCATGCCCTACACTCGTCCTCGTGTCTGGGGAGCGGCGCTGCTCCTGGCTTTCAGCGCGCTGAAGAGGAGCGCAGGCCCGCCGCACTCCCACGCGGCGTCCAGCCCGGCGCGGCGCGGCGGCCGCGAGCGTGGGAAGCGCCGATCTAAGGCGGGTCAGGTCCGCGGCCACACTCCTCCGAAGTGGACCGGCGCCGCCGACACCGAGCCCAGCCCGCAGGACACGGAGCTGAGCTGAACATGCGGTCTGCTCCCTCGAGACAATGAACCGTCGCAGGGACAAACACAGCTGGGTGGGACGTAGGTCGGCAGTAGCGTTACATGCATTGGAATCATGCGGAAAGCTTTGGCGTAAAATATGCATGCGTATTTCTTTTTTGTAGCCGATTTCACCCTCACGGTCTCTGAGGTACGCAGTTCACACAAAGCTCGACCATTCCCCTCAGCTTTA